CTTGGCTAAGTCTATATGCCTCACTTATCTGTATGTTGAATTCTAGTTCCCTAATAGGGAAATTTTCTGCCATAATGTCTGTGAACAGATTTTTTAAAATATCATTTGTGCTATCTCCTGCTTTTTTAATGACTCTAATAAATGTTAAGTTATTCTTCTTTACCTCGTCTAGCAGCTGCTGAATTGATTTCTCATAATCCCCTGCTATTTTTAAGAAATCATGCTTTTCATGTTCGCAGACTGCAAGCCTGTGTTCTATATGTGAGATCCTGTCCTCACACTGGTTTATTCTGCTGCAATTACTGTCAATGGAATTTTTAATTTCTTGGACATTTGCCTGAATCTCTCTTATGGATTCCATTCCTTTTCAATGCTGAGCATTCATTGCTTTGATAATTTTCTTAAGTGCCTCTATATTTTTTATCTGTATCTGCTCTAGAGTCACTAAGCATGGTTTTCATTCTGTACAACGTCTCTGCAGTTATCTGAGAAATTATTTCTGTTTTTTTTCCTAGGGCCTCATTCATTTGCATTGTTGTTACCACTTCAGAGAGGTTAGGTGGGAGGTTTTCAGCTTGTTCCACCTCATTGCCCCGTGAGTTTGCCTTTGGTAAACTGGATGTCTGGGGTTGCATCTTGTTTAAGTGTCTCTTCATTTTCTTTTCTTTTCATTCTTTCCTAAAGGTTCAAAATACTAGCAAGAAAAAAATCCTCAGGAAATGACTACTTCTCTTAAGTATTTTTTAATATTCTGTTCTTGTGTTAATTTCTGGAATCTTGACCTTGGTGTAGACTTATTTTTGATCATGGGTACTTGGAGTTTTATATTACTCACTTAATCATATGTCTAACTTTTCTCCCTGCTTGTGAAGCTTTCTACATCAATTCTGTGACCAGGTTTCTTTAATGTCATTTTCATATCTCCTTTTTCACTGATTCTGATCAGTTTTATGTTTTTCTTGTTTTTCTCATGGAGGAGCTTTTGGAATTTTTAAAATGGTCCTTTGCTATTAAGAAATTTATTTTAATGTTCACTAACTTAATCCTGTGTTCTATTGTCTCATTTTCCTATGTAGACTTTCAGTGGAATCCTAGATATCTGTTTGAATCTGTTCATGGATTCCATTCCTTTCCTATGTTGTGTCTTCATGGTTTTCATCATTTTTCTAAGTTCTCAGTTTTGTGTGTATGTATATCTGCTCTAGAGTCATGAAGCATGTCTTTCATTGTGGCTACCATTTGTGTAGTTATGTGAGAAATTATTTCTCATTTGAATTTTTTCTACAGCCTCATTCATCTGATTTGTTACTTCTGCTGTTACCACGTCAAAGATCCCAGGCTTTGGGACTGTTATATCTCATTGCCTCTAGTGTTTGCCTTTGATGAGTTGGAAATCTGGGGTTGCTTCTTTTTTTCACTTTCTTCACATTTCCTACCTTCCTATCCTCCTTCATTCCTTCCTTTCTTTTTAGATTAATTCCTGGGTTAATTCTTACAAATTATTAGGCCATGTGACATTATTACTAGTATTCTGAGTCCCTGGTAAATGGCTGCTTCACAGAGATGTCTTCTCGGTGTAACTGGCTTTTGGGATTTGAATATGTTGCAAGACACTGCATCTCAAATTTATTAAGTATGAGAGTTGCTGCCTGTTTGACCCAGCCCTGGGTCTTTGGCACTGTGCCATAGTATTTTTTGTGATTCATAGTCACTCTCAGTCTTGGAATACTAGGAGGAAAAGCTACTTAGAACAATTCTGTCATTTTTGGCTAAAGTGGTGCCATAACTTTCACAGCCTAGAATCAAAGACAGCCTAGAATATTCAAATGAGAGTAAGAATTAATTTGCCACTTTTAGCTGTGTAAACTAGATTTGTGGTTATATAACACAATCCAAAATAAATCAGAAAATTATAGACAGTATATAAGTCCTTAATATGTCAATTTTCCTTCACAGTTTAAATTTTAAAAGGGATTAGGGGAAAATGGAACAATAGAAGAAAAGGAAGAGATTAGAATTAAGGCTGGAGAACAAAGAGGGATCATGCTAACTCTGGGAAACTGGTGCAGAAGACTGAAAGGAAGGAGAGGAGGAAGAGATAAAAAGACAAACAGAATAGAAAAAGAATCAGAAAGAGGCTAGAACCACATTCACACTCATATAAAAACAAGATCAAACAATGAAGGAGAAAAAGAAAAACAAAACCACTATCATACCACAAAAACTAAAAACAAGAGAGCAAGAGAAAGAAAAAAAAAGTACACTTCCAGGTTTGTTTCTGCTATTACTGGTAGACAATGTGTGGACAAAGAGTCGCAGTCTGTGTTGATTTATCCCTGCAATCCAGGAGTGGCTTTTTGATGGGGTAGTGTATAATCTCAGTGAACTTGCACTTTCTAGCTAATGAGGTCCAACTCATTCAGTCTGCAGCTGTCAGCATACCTTTCACAGGTCTAACCCTGGCCAGGTGTTGCCAGATGGAGCCAGTAGCCACTCTAAGTTTTGAGCTCAGCTGACCCTTTCCAAAATGGTTCTTGGCCAATTACTCTCTCCTGTGGGATGACTGAGCCTTCAGCACCCACAACCAGCAAATGCAGTCCTTCATATCCACTGTTCCCCTGCACTGCTGCATCTTTCTGTAGAGGCCTCTGGGATCACCAGGAGTCACTGTGTATTCCCAGGTTTGAATCTCTCCCTTGCACAGTGAGTCCTGTCTTAGGGAAAAGATGCCACCAGCTACTTCCTTCTACTTCACTGAAGTTTTTCTCTTCACTATCTCCATGGGCTTCAGTTTGCACTTCGCACTCTTCCCTTCCCAGGGGGTCCACTTCCTTCCTTTTTGTCTTCCTCAGTTGCTATAGTCCAGCATCTAGATGGTAACTCTCTGATCAGGTCTTTCTCTGGTGTTTACTATTTTGCCATCTTGGTGCTCCTCCTTATGTCATTTTTGTAATGTCAGCCTTGAAATGAAAAATTAAAAAAAAAAAAAAAAAAAAAAAAAACAACCCAAATGTTCCACTCTGCTCCTTTTCTCAATTTGTGCCAATTTTTTGCTGATGAAAATTCTTCTCACATTTTACATTGTGTGGTTTGAGGGTCTCCCACAGTCCTTCTGTCACAACCTGTAGCCAGTCAAAATCCTAAAGCAAGAAAGTCTAATTAGCTGGGAAGACATTTACTATTGTGCTCAGGATCTAGCCAACCTCGTATATTTGAATGTTCATATCTCTTACAACATTTTAAAGTTTTCAGTCATTATTGACTTCAATAAGTTTTCTGAACTTTCCTTAGAGTTTCTATTTCTATAAATTCCATAATCCTTATTTTCCTTGATGGTAACCTACAACCTCACACAAACTTTCTTTATTATTTCTTTATTTTTCTTTTTTCTTTTATTTTTCTGACTGGACAAATTGAGATTAATTACCTTTCATTTTACATAATCATTCTTTTGTTTGATCAAGTCTGCTTCTCAAGTATTCTATTACATTTTTCATTTTATTCTTTGTATCCTTTAGCTCAGAATCTCATTTTTTTGAAAAAATGATTTCTATATCTTCGTTGCTCTTGTTTTGTTCATGTATATTTTTAAATTTTCTTATCTATGTTCTCAAGTTGCTTGATGAAATCCTTTGAGACAATAATTCTGTCAGAATAATTTATGGATCTATATTTTTGTGAAGTCAACTAGCCCCTGAGCTTACTTTGTAACCCAAGCTGGTCTCAAACTTGCAACAATTATCCTGCCTCAGCCTCCCAAGTACTGGGATTATGGGAGTGTACCACCACGCCTGGCTTCCTTGAATTGTTGTACAGCTTCTTCATATTGGAGAAATTATCACTTTCTACAGTCTCTAGTGACTGGTGGTAGGAAATCAACAGTTTCATCAATCAGGCTAGGTGAGAAATTCTGAAGATCTCTAAGACATATTTTATGGATGCATCCAACCCAGATTGCTTGTTGGCCTTTGAAGGCTGAATTTCTAAAGATTGTGTGCTTAACTTTTATCTACTTTTGAAGACCTACAATGTCTCCAATGTTTTGGTTTTGTCGGTTTTGCTCTTTACTGTTTTGTTCAATTGTATTATAACTAATGATATAAGCAATTCTATTAGAGATAGCGAGAGGCATTATGGTAACCATTGTTGATCACCTTGTATTATGTTTTTATATTATCTATTATGTCCACCCTTTTGACTTGACCGATTCTGTTCTGTTATGTCACATTTGGGTTTACTCTCTTCCAAAAAAGCAATAAGAACCGTGGGAGCAATGAAACCCAAAATGTGTAATAGTCATTGTACAAAAGAGAGGAAAAGAAAGTGCTCTAAACTATATAACTGCATGTATATTTAAGTGTATAAGATAGAAAATGATATCACAGAGTTTTATTGGATCATTGAACAGAACTGTTTGCAGTATCATTGTTGGAATGTCCACTCTACAAGCTTTAATCTTGTGACTTGAACAATTATTTCTAAGATGGCAATATGTAATCCATTAACTAGTGATTTCCTACTGTTCATTTTTTTCTTCTGTAAATCTGTATAACTTGTACCCTTTCACTGTTTTTTTTTTTCTTTTCTCCTTAAATAAAATTAAAAAAAAAAAAAGATTGTGTGCCTTCTTCCTACAGTGTAAAACCAGGCCTGGTACTGAGGATCTTCTGTTGATTATCTCTGTGAGAGTGCCCTGAAATATCCACATTCATCTGTCTCCTCCCAGTCTCACAGAGTTAAGTCACAGACAGTGTATGCTAACATGGTGCAAAGGTTTAACATCCGGTAGATGAAAATGAGAAGCCAACCACAAGGGATATGAGAAAATCATGTCAAGTGTTGGGCATATCTGTAGCCAGCTGAAGGGGGAGGGTGTATGTAAGGCATTCCAAGTAGCTTGTGAAGAGGCTTCCTACTGAAGTCCATGAAAACAGTAGGATATGTGCACTTTTGTTGAATTTTAAGTCCTGGCTTATGTTTTCTGTCTCTCTCACTTACAGATGGCCTTCCCTAGCCACTCAGCCATGTTGACTCCTTAAATGTTCTGGCTGTAATGCAAAAGAGATGGAGCACTTTGGGTAGCATCTACAATAGCGGGAGAAATCAGGCTCACTATGATTTTACTTTACTTCATGGAAGAAATCTCATAGCAAGGAGGTCTTTCTTGGTACTGGACAGTGCACTTTGATGGATAGGTGACAGAGGTAAAGTGAAATTATTTTTATTATTTGCTTATTTGTTTTTATCTTTGATTTTCCTCTAAGATATGCTGGAACTTTTCTGCTGGTTTTCTGTAGTCTTACAAAGATTCTCTCATTTATAAGTGTCAAAGTTGCATCACAGAAAATGATAAAAATTTCTACTCTACAGTTTTCTGACATCATTATCCAAGATGATGACATTTACTTAAAAAAAAGCAGCAGTGAAAAAAAGTAAAACAACTATATTAAAAGGACAATAGTTGTAGCATACTATTCATGATTGTAAGCAATTATCTTAATATATTGTTTCACTCTTGTTGAGTAGCCAGTAATCACAAAATATGCTGGCCAAGAAAGAGTGTGTCCATAAATATTTATCTATCTGTTTATCTAAATATGTAGACCTATCTATCTGAGTAATAGTTTGGGATTATGTTTTGCTGGTGAGTTAAGAAAAACAAGTCCCAAGCAGTCAGTCATTTAGAGTCCAAGTATAGCCTAATGGAAGGAATTACAAACCATACTTGCCAATTGGCCTGTCCAAAATATCTGTGATACAGACAGCAAGCAGGCACATTCGCCTGTTTAATAAAGGCATTTTCTATTGTATTTTAGGTTATTAAATTATTCTTCAACATAGTTCACAAATAGTTGTGATTATTTTTAAACATTTTGGATTCTCTGTGGTATTTTATTTTCCAAATACTTAATACTATCTACCTCTCTAGACTCATGTTGACTTTTTTAAGACAGAAGCTGATGGGAGCAAGCATCTTCATGAAAGGTCCCTGTGTCATTTTTCATGTTTCCCCTGTAATTTTATGATTCTGCGGCAGCCTCCTGGTCAGCCTGGCCCCTCTGTTCATGAATTCCATTCCACAGCTGTAAGCTGAGTTTTCTCACAGATTATTGGTGAACAGTGTGCTGACAATGAATTTGTTTTCTGGAGATAAAAGACTGCAGTACCTCCATGAAAACTTCAAAAGTCACATGATAACATGAATATTACATATACATGTATTTTTTAGTTTTGGAAATCTGCTAAATTCTATCAAATAATAGTAGTTCATTTTGAAAGTTAAACCAGAGAGAAGGTAGAAAATTCTACTGTAATTTAAAAAGTAAAGCTCACTCACCTACTAGACAGAGTGACACATGTGACTTTGACCTCTGAACTTTGGATATCCCCAATTGTCTGAATAAAAAGTCCACTTCCCACTTTGCTTTGCCTATCTAAACAACTTCTGAATACTTATGGAAAAAAATAACTAACATTTGTAATGTTGAATTATCAAATGCAATTCTAATTGGTATTTTAACGACTTCCCTAAATGGTTTTGCACTGTTTGGCTTCACCATATAGGTTTATCGGTGAAGTAATATAAATCATGAGTGTTGAAAAACAATTCAAAATAAGTCCCATTTCTTTATGCCTTATAAATAAGACACTGACTTCGCATTGGTGCTTTATATTTAGCAATGTTTGTACAGTGAGAATTCCTGGAATATCCTCAGTATCCTCCTCTGGAGGAAAATGCAGATAGGCCTGCTGCTAATTTCAGTGCACTCCAGTTTCTTCAATGTGCTCCTTTCCTGAATGCAACTCACTGTGTGTGCAGGGATCATCTGACTCTGTGAGTCGGAGAACCAGGTCAAAAATGCTGATTCTCTCAATCCCACGAAGACTGAGTAACAAACTTTCTTTCATCCCTGACCCAGGATTTGATGTGTTTTCTAGCATCATTCATAAAATGCATCAGACCAATTCATTGGTGAATAAGTTAAACTTCAGCTACTTCACATGACTTAACAGTAACATATCTCACAGAAGATGTGCCTCAAACAACTACTTGGTGTTAATATAAGAATAACGGGCCAGACAGTAAATACTTTAGGCTTTACAGGCCAAACATTGTCTATAATTAATCACTTCTGTTGCTACATTACAAAAGAAGCCATAAACAATATACAAAGGAATGAGTGTGTGTTCCTGTAAAACTCACCTACGAACAATAAAATTTGAATTTTATATAATTGCACATGTTATGAAATAATATCTTTTCAAATTTTTTTCAAGTTATTTAAAAATTTGCAAACCAAAGTTAACTAACGGGCTGTGCAAAACAGGCATCAGACAGGTTTTGGTCCAGGAACCATGGTTAACCAACTTCTGTGTAAAAAATGTTGTCCCAGTCCAAGTTAAGCCTATTAGTTTATTTTGTGCATTTTCCATTTGAGGTAATCCAAGAGAACGGTAAGGAAGGGGTGGCTTTCATACCAGACAGAGTTTGTTGGTCTCTTATGCTATTGAGGATCAAACCCCCAGGGCAAGCCCTTTGAGCCTGAGCTGTACCTCCCATTCCTCCCCAATATAGTACTGTAAACATAAAAATTTGTGTGCATATATAATTTGTTTATATATACAAATTTTCTGTCTCTCGAGCTTCTTTGTTCTAAACTCTTATTCTCATGGTATTCATCTTACCTGCTGTTTTAGTATTTGGGGAGCAACATGAGTGCTAAGGAAATGTATCATTAAGGGGACACATACTAGTGGGAAAATTCAGATTTCTTTAACGCAGTAAAGATTTTCACTATTTTTACATTATTCTTCTGGCTGTTTTTTGTTTGTTTGTTTGTTTGTTTTTTGTACTCAGAATAGAATCCAGGACTTTGCACTTGCCAGGAAAGTGCTGTGCTACTGGGTGATATACCTGGCCTAAGAGGACTCATTTTTTATATATCAAAATGTATCTCTTTTTTAATTAATTAAGATTATTGGTACATTTTAGGTTTACATAATGATCACATTTATCGTGGAACTTGTCCCTGAGCGTGATATATCTTGACAGTTTCCCCATTCCCTTACCCTCTCTTGAACTCCTCTCCCCCTCCCTAGTTACAAAAGCTTTGTTTTTGCTTTAGTCTTCCATCAACCTGTCTCTTACATAAGCATGATAACTGTGATTCATTTGCAAACCCCCAAAATTTATGTCTATTAAGATCAGCATTTTAAGAATGAAGTTCTCTGCCATATTACATTATACTAAATTTTATGACTTAGTGAGAAACAAAAGATCATTTGAAATATTTCGATAATGAAAATGCTTCAAAGCTTTATAGATTGTATGCCATAAACTGGTAAATAATATAGGCCTAAATAAAATATTGGCTATTATTAATATTATTCTCTTTTGAAGTTTGACCCAAATTCACCTGAAACAAGTTATACAGGATTTTCCACATCTTTCATTTATTTACACAAACAAGAAAGCCAAGTATGCACCAATTTGCATAATGCTTAAGGCTGAATTTGGATTGACACATGTGAAGTTTGCCTTGGTGGAAATGGATAACTCTGTTCCTTCTCAAAGGAAGGAATTTATAAATAATTAGTAAACATTGAATGAATGTGTAAAACTGTCACAATCAACTTGACATTAAATTTCAGTGGTTACTCCAGAATACGGGTTCCAGAGGGGAGATTTTATGCAGATGCTAAGCCTGCTGGATTTTAATTCTGTTTAAATTACTATGGTATTTTTTTCATCGCTAACACACATTAGAGAATGACCCAGCAGAGCAAGACCCTACAGTTTGACCCTAATCAGGCCTAGATAATATCCCTGAGTGAACCTGTGACTTCCTTTGCTGGAGAATAACCATTGAGCAATACTCAGCCCTCAAGTAAACACAGCTTTGCATTCTTTGCACACATATTCTTTCAATCAAGGCAGCACTGTTGAGACAGAATGTAAAATTTTCTGCAGGTCTGGAAGAAACCTCTCCTTTGTAAATCAATATGAATCTAATAGCATTAGCTACTTGCCAAGAGAAAAGTGATAACCCTATTGTAGCTTGGTTGACAACAAACACTTCGGTAATTTCTCAGGAAAAGTATTTCCTGTTGATCATTAAGAGCCAAATTTTGAGTCACTTCCCTCTCTGGATTAAATAAATAGTATTAGTTTTTCAACTGTGTACAGTAAATATGGATTTCAAGACTTGTTTGTCTGCAATTCTTAAAACATTTATGAACCTTGAACAGATGAATTTGTTTTAAGCATATTTTTTCATTTGAACACTTTTCCCAATGGTTTTTAATATGGATACTGTTCATCACATATTGAATAAAGCAACTTTTACTTTATTTAATGTCTTGACCCAAATCACATTGTCTCCATAAATATTTTACAGTCTGTGTGCACCAAAAGCGTGATTACCAAAGTCATGTCTGCACTTGTAGGTAATATACTATAAAAAATGGATTATTTTTCCCTTCTCTTGTTTTTCAGAAAGGGAATTGGTGCTTGTATTTGCCCAAGTGGGTTTTTTTTCTTTTCCTTTTCCTCTTTTTTTACACTAACTAGCTCCTAAGGGGTAAGATGTTGGAAACATGAGTCTGTGCCAAGTTACTATCTCTATAAAATTCACAAAAGAATAAGAAAACATTGCTCACTTCTCTCCTTTCCTGCTGCTTTTCTGAAAGAAGGCATTTTGAGGCTTCGATCACCCTAATCAGTAGAGTAATGCTGCTCGATGACTGATTGGGAAAAAGTTACAGTGCTTTTCGAAGAGGCAACATGAAACAAAATGAATTAAAATAAAATTCAAATATTTATTTCTCTTACGAGCCACAAAGCATCTTGCTTTCTTTTAACAAAGGATTCGTCAAACACTGAAATTAGAGTATTTCATATACCTCAATACATTGGAGCTGTGTTTTACAAAATCAGAAAAGATAGTTTATATACTCCTTACACCACCTTTTGCTTTCATAAGGGAAGATAAATTCTGAACTTATAGTGAAACATAATTATTTCGAGTAGTTAAATCATATGGATATTTAGCTTATTGCTTTTCCCTCTCCTTGTACTTAGATCCCAATGGTGTAATAATTTGATCCTGTTTAACACTTATCTACTGAGATAAACTAAATAAAGTTTGTATACACAACAGTGAACTTTCCTAAATTTCCAGGATCTAAACAGCCTTTTCACATTGGGATCTCTTTAACATTTCTGTCAATTAATTATGGTGAGGGTTGTCAGAAGCAACCCTGACTAAATGGTGTTTAAAAAGAATAGAGATCAAGCAGTAGAATGACTGAACATTTATATGTTTCTGCCGTTTACCTCATCTCAAAATAAAATAGCTATGTTACATTTGTATGAGCTAATCATAAAATAAAAAGTGATATAGATATTTATATCTATATAAATAAATCCACATAAAAGTGATATAGATATTTATAAAAGATATATTTAATATTTCTGCTTAGCTATAAAGAAAAACAAATGATATCACATGGCTTTAGGAAAATCAATGTGAAAGCATCTCTACACTGCCTTTCAGTGACAATGTAATTTGCGCAGTAGCTATTGTTTGTGGCTTTCCCGTCTTCACTCCCTGCGCTTGCTTCCAACCATAGACATTGCTTCTCTTTGATACTGCTCAGATGTGTAGGAAGGCAAAGCCAGGCTGCAGAGAGAGCTCAGGGACAGTCACCAGTATCAATTCAGTTGCCTCAGAATTGTTCCCCTGGGATTTTTCACACTGGTGCTGACAGAGAAAAATAGTCTTTTCTTTGATGCTCAAGATACTGTAAAGATGCAAGTTTGGAGCTACCAATCACTAAATTCTCTACAGTGGATTCACCCATTCTGAGCAATTGAAAGTGACATATAGAGGGGGAAAAGACGAAAGAGGAAGCAAAAGAAAGCCTGATGGCAGTTAAGTCCCGAGTTTCAATTTTCCACAAAGTCAGCTCCACCCTTGACCTTTCCATAATGCAGCCATCAGGAAGCAGGAGATCCTTCATTCCTGCTGACACATTTTGATTTGGATTTCTCTCTCAGCAAAAAGAATCTTGACCAATACATTCGGTAGATGAATAAATATAATTAGTAGCCTCTGCTAGGTGTCAATTTAAAAAGGCTGAAATTGCCCTGGTTTAAGTATAAATGTTGTCAGATTTAAGCTGGATTGTCAACCTGATTGGCTTTGAAGCCACCCAGGGGATTGTGAAAGCACACTTCTGAGTGGGTCAATGTAGGTCACAAAGGCCGGACCTTGTGCTTTACATCTGGTTCCTGGCCACTTCCTCTCTGATGCTGTTTCCTGCCTGTTGTGAACTAAGCCAGTTTGCTCCACCCTTTGCCATGATGTTCCTTTCTTGGATCCAGCCAGTCATGAACTAAATCCCCTGCACCTATGAGCCATTTGGGGCATTCTAGCTACAGGAAAGCTAATTAATTTTCCCCATTCAGAGACTAATATAATGATATACAATATAACAATGATAATGATAGAATGATAATACAATGTAATAATATGAGTATACATTATAATATAATGATACGATATAATAATGATATAATATAATGATAATGATTTATAGCGCTCCTCATGTTTCACAGTGTATGCTGAGTTCCTTATAGTTTCCTGAGAGCAGCATGTTGTATCCTGTCCCCCTGTCTGTGTGCATGATTGTTAGCTCCCTTTGAGTGAAAGGCCATTGGTTGTCTGGTAAACTTCTTTCTGTTCATTCTTGAAAGCAGCACAACTCAAACATTGTCTGTTTTTGGAAATGCCTGCATGACAGTCTCCCTGTTTTCTTCTCCTCAGTGTCAAGCAGTCTGCAGTATTAGTGACTTCCTCCTCCAAGGAGCATCCAGGGCACTTCCATGTGGTTATGCTTCTCATGGTACTCATAGTATGTCATAGTCCATCTCTATCATGGCACTGAGGCTCTCAAGGTCAAGACTCTGAGCCCTGTGTTCCTACCACACAACCCAATGTGTGAAGTGGAGTAGGAACTTGGAGAAGGTAATGAATGAAAAGGGCAGAGAGAGAATGAAATATACATTGGTGAATGAATTAATAAACTTTTACTAGTAATGTTCCAAAACTCAGGTTACAGATGGATAGCACCTAGCTTATTCCACAGTTAGAAACTTCACTTCTTTTCTTGAAGTCTTTGTTCTTTAAATGTTTAAAGCAGGTACTCTTAAACTGGAGCCCACAGAAGCCTTCAAAAATTAAATCTTCCTTTCCATGAGCTTGTGGCAGTTATGTGGGCCAGGAAAAGAATCAAGAAGTCAGCCTGCCCTTCCTGTGAGCCAAAAGCAGTTGTGGGCCAGAAAGAAAACCAAGAATCCAACCTGGCCTTCCCATGAACCAGAAGCAGCCATGCAGGTAAGGAAAAAAACAAGAAGTCAGCCTGCCTTTCCCATAAACCAGCGGGCACACAGGTTGGGAGACAGAAGAGTCTCTCCCTCCCCCAGTGTAGGCAACCAGCTAATTTGGAGGAACACAGGCTAGGATGATAGCAACTGAGGTACAAAAACAAATTAATGGCTGTACTGATTGGTTGACTTTTCAGGTTGGGGCAGGTAGTCTAAGCATCTGATTAAAGAATAGCAATGTGCAATATAGCAACTATGAGGATTTCTTTCAGTCTTGTTTTTGAAACCCAATGTTGTTCTTGCTGTTTTGTTTTGTTCCATTTTATTGTTTTGTTTTATTCCTTTCAAAACAAAACAAAAAAATTCAATCTTTGGGGAAACTGTGACAACTCCCAAATTCTTAGAAAACTGTTGTGTGAATGTCTTTATGAGCTTAACTGTTCTGGATTGAAGACTCTCAGCTTTCAACAAACTGACATCTATGAATTTAACAAGGCTGGAGAGGTACTACATTGTGCATAAGAAGTTGTTTGTAAAAGTAATTAAAAACAAGTTTAAATACTAAAATATTAATATTTAATACTAAAATATTAAATACTAAAATATTTTTATGCTTTCTTACAAACTTTTTTGCCTTTTATATTGAAAAGAGCAAACCTACAGTTAAGTCACTTTTGTACATTTTTCTGGCCTAAAGAATCCGGTTATGAGAAAGAAGTGCCTGCTTAAAAAAGGATAAAGCAGGGGTTCCAGTAAAGATGGTGGATAGATAACAGCAGGCTAAGAGGCTCCCAGATATAGTCAACTTAGATTTCAAAATATCACAGCGTGGGGAGTCCTGAGCAGAGGGAGATGAATATTCTCGATCCAGAAAGAAACTAAAATGAGAAGAACCAATGAAACACACAGTCCTGGTGCTACTATTGGGAACAGCTAAAGGCTCGGTGCCCACGCTGCAGTGCTGGTACTCACACAGCCTGGCCATGACTTAAGGAGCTGCCTGAGATCCCGCCACTTGGAACCACCAGAAATGCAGTCACACTGAGGATGGGGGTTGGCGAGCCAAAAGGAGAGCTGAGCTGGTGGGGAACCTGCATCAACCTGTGGTGAGTGCCGGCAACAAAACCATTCCACAGAAAAAGGGGCTCCAATAGGGGACATTCTGGGACTGGGCAGACTGGCAAGAACAAGGAGCAGCAGTGACTTCCGTCAATTGCTCCCTTACCAAATGGAATTGGTGTGATGGGCTTGGCCTGGGTTACGTCCCTGGCCAATTTTGGGGGCATTCTTGACCACCAATCCAACTCGACAGAGAATACTGCAGGACATTCTAAAGAGAGAGAAAAGTACCAGGATTCCAGGAACAGTACATAGCAGCCTCAATGAAATGGAGCAGAAAGCGAAATAAAGAAGACAAACAGACAACTAATGACAGAAAAGTAGCACAACAGAAATGAGGCAGAGAAGGTTGGCTATAATCTCTAATATAGATGGCCTTGATACACTAAATTAACAAAAGAGAGAAAATCACAGACAGAGTAGATCAGAAGGTAGGGTCCACTAGGATGCTCTTTATAGGAAATATAATTAACCTGAAAAAGGGTATATGGACTTAAATATGAGAAAACAATGCCCTAAGTGACAGGGAACCAGAAAGTAATAGGGGCAGCTAGGCTAGTATTTGAGGATAGGTGGGAAAGACAGGCTTTAATAGGTAGAAGAATACAACTAGAGATCAAGTCCAGGAGGGAAAAGGTTTGGAACCACTTAGGTAAATAGCAGGCTGACCCCCCAATTTAAAACTGAGGGTATTGGTGAAACCCAGAATTGCACAGTATTCCCTGGGGGAGTGAAAGGGGAGGAATAGTCTTAAGAAAGACAGCAGAAGATAGTATTAATAGTGTATCAGGAATCAAAACCCATATTACTTGCACCGCTCTGCTTAGATAGAACTTATTCTGTCCCAGTTTGTCTACAAGCACTAGATCTGAGGGTACAGAAAACCATCCCCAAAATGTCAGGATATACTGCAGTAATCATCTTTAATTTCCTATTAACTTAATCTCGAGCCCTATATAACTTATACTGTTATATCATGATGGATCTTAGTTAAATCTGGTTTGTTTCATTGCTGTTTGTTACTGACAGATTTCATTCAAAATTGTTATGATTGATAGTATCAATTCTGAGAATATAGACATCTATACTGAAGATGACAAGATTCACTACGATACCCATTCTGATTTGATTACTACCTGATTTGATTACTACACACTATCTACAAAGTTGTGTTTCTATCAACACTGTTATGTATTGATATATTGAATTATACTATAGCTGGTGATATAGACAATTCTTTTGAAGATAACAAGAGATTTCACAGTAACCACAGTAAAACTCCTTGAACAGTGGTTTTATAAATTTTTCATTTTATGTATCTATAGGAATATGTTTTGTTCTGTCCTACTTTGTTTTGTTTCCTCTTCTAATATGGAAAGGATAAAAATACATGTTAAGACTCATGCATGCGTAGAACCTATAAGCAGTTTACAAGAACTGATCTTACAACACACGATAAAATGAATAAATACTTTAAAGGAAAAAGGACACTACAGTACCCAGTGCTGGTCCTGGAGTGTCATGATGTGAAATCCAGCAATACTATTATTCTTTGTGCAGAGTGATTTTAGTCTGCTTTGGTTTGTTTAATCTCAACATCAATGAAGACATGAATAAGTATATATATATATATATGTGTGTGTGTGTGTGTGTGTGTGTTTTTAAGTGTGTAGGACTGATAACCATATTACTAAGTTTTTGTTAGATAGTTGAATAGAACTATTTGCAGTCTCGCTGTGTGAATTCCCACTTACATGTTCCACTTTTGTATCTTGAACAATTATTTGTAAGAGGACAGTATGTAAACATTAACTAGTTATTTATTGCTGTTTTTTTTTTACTTTTTCTTTGAAACTATGTACTATTTCTACCTGTTTTCTGTTTTGTTTAAATATAAAAAAGAGGGTAAGGCAGTAAGATCACAAGTTCAAGCTCAACCTGAGCAACTTAGCAAGACCTGTCTCAAAAAAAAAAAAAAAAACTGCAAAAAAGGGTTGGGGATATAGCTCTGTGCAAAGGTGCTGGATTCAACACTTAATACTGTTTTTTTTTTTTTAAAAAAAGTGAAGTCATAGGACAATCAGTGCTGCTCGGAGCTGACTGTCCTCTGGTCATGCTGCACTTTGGAAATCCACTTCTGGAGTATGGAATCTGGAAACCTCACAAGTCTTTGACCCTGTTTCCTCTTTTTCCTCTCCTTTTACCGTATACTATTATCTGAGAAATAATAGTTACTTAGCATGGAGAATCAGCCCCACTTTCCCAATCAAACCCCCCCCCCTGCCCTGTCTGCCAAGTGCGGGGGAGGGAGTGCTGGGTTTGGCAGCTGTCAGCCCATCATTATGGGCTCACTGTCCCATCTGCACTTCTCAGATTGATGTAGTCACAGGGGGCTTTACCCCAACAGGCTCTCAGGGGAACCGTAACATACCTCTTGATTTGGCTGTGAAGTTATACTTGTGATTATTAATAGACAAGATAAGAGGCTGGTGCTCTATTCATCCATGTTCGAGCTAATTATTCCATTTGATCAAAGCTGATTATGATAGTGATAGATAACCATGCTACATTTAGAAATGCAGCAAGCAGTGGCCAAGAGCCTCAACGCAGAGCTGCCATTGGGTTCATCGGATAAGAAGCGGAGTGTAGTGACGGAGATGAAGAAGCTGCTTTGGTTGATTAGCAATGTGCTGCATGGGACCATTTATAATGAAGCATATCATTTAAATTTTCCTTTACAAATGAGTCCAATGTGCGTTGCAGGCTGCAGGCTCTGTTAATTGTCACAAACATTGCCTATTTTTTTTTTAGCATTATTAGCTCTTTGGCAGGATCTCCATTGTTGACTAAAAACTTGGCATGATCAGGACTTGCTGAATAATTTAGGTGGTTGGCAGCTGGAGAAGGAGAACACACACATCTAGGCAGACAGACATGCTGCTTGAGCTCTTTATATAATAGGATTGTATACAAAGCAGAGTACAGTCAGCAGTGACTTCTGTGTCTGTTTATAGGTAAACACTGATGTTAGTTTTATAGGAAAACTGGAGGGATACTTCTCACAAATTGTATGTGGCATATGAGACAGATGCACTGGAGGACTGTTCAGATGACTCGGATCATCACTGGCTCTCACAGAACCCGGGTGCTGGAGTTTCCCAGGCTCTCAGGCTGCCTCCTCAGCGGGGTTGCTGGAGAATTTGATCACTGTCTACCGTAGGACTGATGGGAGGTGGAGCTCCCAGCTGCTTATACACAGCAGATCAGGACACATAAGTTGCCAATACTATGAAACATGTACACTTTGGAATCCCACATACATAACTGTGGAAGGGCATGATATGGAAGGGCAAGGAGGAAGTCACAGAGAATATGGCAAATGCTTAGTGCCTGTATACAACTCTTTAGGACATGAACCAGACCCTGTCTCCCCCTTCAATGGATAGACTGTGACACTTAAGACTAATCAAGCTTCAAGGGAACAAAACAACCCAAGTTTCCTGAGGCCAACAGGATTTAATACCTGAGGAAAGGGGCAAGCACAAGCGTAGAGTCAGCCAGATAAAGATTCCAGCGGTGTCAACAGGATAGTGCACTATTGCCTGTACAATTCATTGGCTTCTCAAAAAGGCTCACTCTCATCTTGGTGACAAATTAGCCAGAGCTCCAAAGTTACATGACTCTTGCTCAAGACTAGTAAAAACAGATGAGTGAGACTGCATTGACGGAAGTTCTCAGATTGAGTCTTGATGGTCTGCTGAGCAAAGAGCGTGATGGACTCCTTCCTGAAGCAATTGCCCCAGAGCCAGGGATAAGTTGGGAGAAAACGAGTACCTATGTACAAATGAGGCAGTAAAGGTACTAGCGGCCAAACAAAAAAGCCAATAAAAATAAAAACAGGAACACAGTTAGTTAGCCTCCCTTTGCTTGTTTAACCTGAGGTCAATTTCTGCTTACCTGTCTTATCTATTAGATTAGAAGTAGTTTCTGAAAAATAAAATATTTGAATGAAATATGTGGCCAGATATGTAGCTATGTTCAGGCTTACCCCTTCTCTGTTTATGCAGCAAGAGTTAAACTCTGGAGCTATGCAATTGTGGCCTAGTAGCAATTGTTTTATACAGGAATTAGTTAAGCCCTGTGTGTGGACATAACTGGGCCCTCGGTCTATAGGGAGTGCAGTCAAACATCTATCCCAAGACCCCCACTGAATTAATATATCTATGCCAAGTGCACTAATCACTGAATTTTACATGCTTTTCTGAAAGAACTAGAGAACCAATGAAAAGCTATGGAATCCATGTGTACTTTTTTTTCTTTTGTAAGTTTCATACTGCTTGATTTAGCAGCAAACTGAGGCACAAACAACATTTATTAGAATCTAACCCCA